GGCAGCCTAAGTACAGAGATCCCAGTTCAGATACTCACAGGTAATGACACCGATTACCCGGCAGGATGTGTAAGATAAGCCTTTCTGTTCTCTTCTGTACCATCCTGGCAGATTTTGATACACTGTCCCTTCATTTATCAAGCAGGAGCTCATTCACTGAGAGAAACGTGTCATCAAAGCCCATGGGTCTTGGTGGCACGGTTCTTTAATGTCAGACTTTTGCTCCTCAAAATCTTCAGACTTAAAATCAACAGAACCATCTGACATACAAAAACAGCATCTGTTTTGAAACCTAAAGGCTCTGCATCATTATTTGTGTATTATTCTGAAATAGAAGTGTGTGTGTGTACAAGCTCCTTAACTTTTAAGGCCAAATACCCAATTCCCAAACACAAAAATTAGAGCTTCTTAGTGCACAGCAGGGATCTGACCGCATGCTAAACATAGCTTTCAGGGACACAGAGCTTCACATGTTCTACGACTCATTTCTTTTGACTGAGGAGTATATTCTTTCAAGTGAGTGGTGAGTGGTGGGGATGTGTAGTAGAACTTCTTTCTTACACACAATTCTGGTTTGCTTCCAGGACTAGTCATATTTCTAGAAAAGAAATGGTCTGTGAAGACAGCAAACCAGTCCTTGAGACCAGACCAAAGAAGTCAAGACATGGAGAGATTAGAGATTATAGGCTGGACAACCTAATAGCAGCACTGTGGTGGTCTCCTCTTCCCCAGAGTGCACTTTGTCTCTACAAAGACCTTGGACAGGGTGCTCTATTCCCTGCCTTGGAAAGCAAGAAAAAATTATAGATTTCTTTGCCCCAAGGCAATCGTCTAGAGAAAGGAATGGTTCCCTCCACATTAGTATTTTATCCGAATCAAGACTTAGTGGTAACATAAAAGGAAATGGATCCTGTTCTCTGGGCCGCCCAGCACGCACATATTCCCTGTCTTTCTTCTTCTCATAATGACACTTAACTGGGTCTTAAAATGTGGCTTTTCTAAGAAGGAACTTTATGTTTTTACAGTGCTTTTTCAAAAACAGGACTTCCTCTAGTGCCACTGTTCTTCCCACGTAAAAAATGTAGCTGTCAATTTTTCTCATATGTTCATCATCCTAAGTGTTTTTTTTTCCCCTCTTTTAAAATTTTCTTTTTATCCTCACCCGAGAACATTTTTCTTTTTTTTTGCATTTATCTTCAGATACAGCAGGAGGGAGAGAGAGAAAAACACAGATGTGAGAGAGACACATTGAGAGGCTGCCACCCCCACACACGACCCCAACCAGGGCTGGGGACAAACTGCAACCAAGGTACGTGCCCTTAGTGGGAACCGAACCCAGGACTCTCTGGTCAGCAGGCTAACGCTCTAACCGCTGAGCCAAACCAGCCAGGGCTCCCTCTTTTTTTTTTTAGAGAATTTATACTGACTCAGCTACCCTTGCTCCCTTCCCACACGGCATAAAATGTCAAGACAGGAGGCTGGGTCCCACAGAGGAACCACACTCACAAGTTAAGGATACTAAGCTAAGCATCCACATCTAGCTGTTAGACTGCGGGGCATTCTGTTTACCAGTCTGCTCCACACCTTGAAAGCCCTGCCTTTGTTTCCACAGGGAAAAAGTTGTTTATCAAAGAATAGCTTAACACAATTTTAAGACTCAAAGTTGTATACAAATAGATTTTTCAGATACACTGCCATGATACATTATAAAAAGTAAATAATAGAAACAGTCTTCTTTTAATTTTACTTGAAATTCTAATGTTTCCATTCAAATTGTTGACTTAATTTAAAAAAATGGAAACTTAGAACCGCTTATAGCATTCCCTCATGTCGTACCCAGGTTACTGAAGATGTTATAAACCCTAGAATACCATGTTTTCACATCATACCCCCATTCCCAAACCAGTGAAAGGGTGAGAAGGGAGTGATTACCATTAAACACAACTTAGATTTTGAGGGAAATGATTTGTGTTCAGAAACCAATGTGTTCCTATGGGTACCTGGGGATTTTAAGTCAAACACAGAGGCAAGCCAGTGCATTCCAACTCTGACATTCAAAGACTCTCTGAAGAACACTAAACAAAACCAAGCATGGTATTTTAGACATACTTCCTAACTACCGCCGTTTATAAATAACAACTCGAAATTCAGCTCTGGTTTACATCTCTTTTGAAAAACCTGTTCTAAATTTATTTGCACTGTGTCAATTACAGGAATATAATAAGAGCTGAGGAACTCTCCCTATGAAAATGTTTTTGCTGGAAACCCTGTCTTGCTACCTTCTGAGCTTCTTGAAAATGAAAATCTCTGTGTCTTCCAGGTGACAGCCACCTTTTCGGTGGAACCAAAATAGCTCTCTCAGGTAGAAAGCTGTCTGTCAGTAGGAGTTCTGACAGATATCAGATTTGGCATGCAGGAGGAAGGCTAGAAATGGTCCCATGGTAGGAAGTTCAGTGCCAGCACCTGACTAGCTAAGGAACAAGAGAGGACTGGCGCTTGGAAACAGTGCACTCCTAGACACTAGATCAAGCACGAGGAAACCAATGGAGATTTCTGGAAATGAAGATAACCTATGGGGGAGAAGGGAGCCATTAACTCTTGTGGGATTTTGAAAGGGCTGTGCAATATGCAATGAACTGGAAGGTTTCCATTCGTTTTCATCAGTGAAAGGGATCAAATACACTCACATGCATAGGATTTTCTCTCCCTCTAGTGGTGGGGTGGGAGTCTTTGAAGTGGTATGCTATCACTGCATTACACCGCTTCATACACAAGATGAGTTTCCATTATAGAACATTTTGTCCATAAAATTAGGATTTTCATTAGGTGGGCTGCTATCTTTTATGTTTTCAAACACACCTTCAGCCCTTTTTGTTAGGGAGTGAATTGCCTCCTAACTGTGCTGATTACCATTGGCAAGGTAGCAAGGCGCCCCCCCCCCCTTTTTTTTTTTGCTAAAGGATGCCCATACTCACTTCCAAGATACAGGATTCCCCTCTCCTCTGTAATCCTATCAGAGGTGGAACTCTCCTAACTCCTAGTTGGGGTTGGGAAGACCTAGGGAGCTAAATGAGAAGCAAGGTTACCTAGAGTAAAGGTGGGAAATATGGAAACTCAGAGGATAGACACTATTAAAGGATCTAAAGAGTGACCTGAAAATGATAGAAAGGGCAATAATTAGAGATAAATTTTGGAACAAATCTCCATCTCTACTTTGCAGTCTCTGTCATTTCTCTTTTTCATTTCTAGTCATGTGAAAATGCTACTGGTGTAGTGATTTGGATCAATGATAGTGGGTGAAAATACAAAATGGATAGAAAAAGTAAATAATGACAATTTTAAGGAGAGTAAAATTGGATCTATGAAGCAATTAAATTGCATAACTGTAAGGAGAATTAATGGGAATAGATTATAGGTTACAGCTGTCTAATGAATAGGTTATTAACTGATCAGTAACAGAAAATCTATCAGTGTGAAGTATGCAGACTACGCAGCTTTTTCCCTGCTCCATATTCAGTTAGGCATCAAACATGCCAACTTGACTTCTTCTCTTGTATGTCTCCAAGGCAACCAAACCTATATTTTTCTGCAAACCCTTTTCTTTTCTAGTTTCCTTATCACAGCGAATAACTCCATCACTCATCTAGTTGTACAAGCCAGAGATCTAGGAGTTACTTGACCCCCACCTAGACTTCCACCACCATATCCAATCCATTGCCAAGTCCTTCAATCTTACTTTCTAAAGCTGTCTCACATAGGTCAATTTCTTTTTGCCTCCACCACCACACTATTTCGTCATCTCCCTCCTGAAAAGGGGCATCCATGCCATCCTTTGTCAAATGCATTCTGCACACTGCACTGCTTCACTTAACAAATATTTGTGAGGGGCCTACTTTGTACTATGGTAGTACTGTGCTGAATAAGGCAAATTCTCCCTAACATCAGATGTTCATAAGCACTATGTGGAGAATTAAAATAGGGTGACATAATAGAGAATGGCTGAATGGTTATTCTAAATTGTGTGTGCAAATGCAAGAAATCAATGGTAGTTTCAGCAAGGGTTATGAGTTTCCAAGCAGGAAAATAAAAGAAGTCCGCTGAAATGATGGTATCTGCTATCAAGGCTTCCTCTCATATGAAACGACTGTTTTAAATGCTGGCCAAGAACATACAGGAGAATACAGGCATACTGTACCTTGGAGCCATTGCAGGTTCCGTTCCAGACCACCACAATAAAGTGGAGTATCCCAGCGAGGCGTCACCTTTTTGCTATTGGAGGGTCTTGCCTTCCTTTTATAAAAAATGCAACACCTGTGAAGTGCAATGGTGCGAAGTGCAATAAAACGAGTTATGCCTATAAATGAAAATGCACTTTAAGGCTCAGCCTCGGTCTGTTTGTCTCCAAGCACCACTGCTTAAATATAACACCTAACACCTGCGTGAAAGTAGCCCATTTGTGTAAACTTGTCTGTGTCTTCTCTCCCAAGTATGTAAGCTTCTTAAGCATAGTCTTGCTCACTGCTGCATCCCCAGTGTCTAAGAACTGTAACTGGCACAGAGCAGGCACGCAAATAAGTTATGTGTTGCATTAATGTACAAATTGGTGTGAAGTTTGACTGTAGATAGAGAAAACGAGCGGGTTTGGGAATTCAGGAAGTCTTTGAGCTATGTCAAGGTCATTGACTTCAGTTCGAAAGGTATAGAATCCCGGCCGTTTCTCAGCTTTGAAGCCCCCTCACCACCTGCTGTCACTCAAACTCACACACCTGTTCGCAGCCTCAAACCTCTCCAACTCCCGGGTAGGAGGAGGCCGACCTCGGAAAACCGGAAACCCTCCTAAGCTCTCCTCTATTTCTCCTTCCCTCCCCTCCCCACCAGCGTTCCGGCAGCCTTGGGTTCGCAGTGCTCCCTGGGAATAGAAGTCTTCCGGTCGGAGCCTATAGAGGTTTACGTATTTCCAGAACTACGCTTCCCAGAGGCCCTCGCGGCAGAGGGCGGCTGTGTCACCTGACCGGGACGGCGAAGGGGTCATGGCGGCGCCCGTGCTGCGCTGGCGCTGTCCTGGAAGGCGTTGGGCTTTAACCTGCTTTGACCGCGGTTCTGTGCACGGAAGAGGGGCTCCGACTGGATCCAGGTCCAGCGGGAAAAGGGGACAGAGCTCAGTGGCTCAGCAGCCCCTCATCACGGCCCAGAAGCCGAGGAAAGGGTATACGATTTCATACCATACTGCCCACGCCAGTGTGAGGTGCAGCTGTGGGACTCGGGAGATGGTGGCCGCTCAGCCCAGCCTTCAGTTCCGACGTTTTGTTGAGCGGGAGGGTGCTAGGCTGTAACTTGCAGCCCTGAAAGTACAAACTGTCCCCTTTGTTAGCCTCGCCTCTACACATAAACCGTTCCCCTCAAATAGACATTTGGGGGGAATTCGCAAGTGTAAAATCGCAGGTGTTTTCTTGCAGCGTAAGTTACACAGACAGAAGAGTGGATTTAGTCACCTTACAGTACCAGCAGTGGGATCTGTGGCAGTAGAAGCGGGATCTTTATAGCTGACAGCGCCACTGTGGGCCAGCAGTGTTTTAGAGGTAGAAAGGGGAGTCTACCCACAAGTTCCGGATAGTGGTGGCTTAATGTCATTAGTCAGAAAACACCACCTATCTGTGAAGGCGTTTCACGTTGAACATGTATGTCTAGATCTGAGAGGATGCAGCCAATACAAGAAATCTCCCCTATGGTTGTGTAGAGAACTTTGCTTCTTTTGCCGGATATCTTCTGAGCAGCTGTTTATACTTAACTAAATAAGACTCAGCTAGTTTCATTTTAAATACGTAAGTTTAAGGCACATGTCTAATATTCTGTTAATCTTTTGGGATAGTCAGGTTGGCATTGCTTTTGCATGTTGCTTCCAAACTGCGGGAAAAAAAAAGTCAATCTCAGAATACTATAGATCTAGAACTTCATATGTGAAATGATTGAAACAAAATCCAATACATGTAAACACGAGTCTAGATAATATAAAAAATGTATTGGGAGAAGGATAGGAATAAAATATGGAGAGGATATGTGTTAAAAGGCTATCTGCAAATTGTCCAGAATACATGGGTTTCAGAGGGACACTTATTAAGAACCTGGAGAGACGTGTGTATGGAATGTTAATAGATACCCAACAGAAAATTAGCCAGATATGAGAGAATATAGCATTTAATTAGCTTTTTAGATTTGATAGCAATCAAGCATAAATAAACAAGCAAAGGAACCTAGAGCTAGAACTTGGGAACTGAAAGTGATTTGGGGGAACCAAAAAAAAAAGCCAAATCTGATGGTTTAATGTTTTCCTTTACACAAAATTCTCAGGAGAATATCATTTAGTAGTGATATCGATTACATCCATATCACTCTGGTCATTTTACTTGCAAACCATTGTTATAAAATGAATTCAAAACATAACAGAATTTCTTTTTCGTTAATGAGATGTGCAACTATTTATTTACCATTATTCTCTGGTAGTAGAATCCTGATGTTAATTCTAAAAATGTTTGCAAGATCCATTTTCTTTGTTTGCTGAGTGATTAGTTGATGAAGGACAGTTAATTTAGAAAATGCTGCTTTTCACTGAAGTGAGCCAAGCAGGCGCCACCTGATACCATTTCTAAATTGTTTTAAGATGTCAAATTGTTCCTTCTCTATCGCCTTACTGTTTGTACAGTGAGCTCTGTGCCACATTGTAAATGAATTTTATTTTTCTGGTCTTGTAGGTGTTTATTATGACTTGGTTTTTATTTAATCACCAATACAAGATGACACATTTTTTAATGTAAGGAAATAAACTTTTAATAAGTTAAAAACAAATAGGAAATTAACATTTGTGGCTTAGGCTCATAGAAATTTATGCATGGTGACAAATCTCACGATTTTTTAACCATTATATCTCTCTCTTTAGTGAACACAAGTGGGCAGCCGTGGTAGGTTTGGAAATTCATGCCCAGATTTCCTCCAACTCTAAACTCTTCTCTGGATCTCAAGTTCACTTTGCAGCACCTCCAAATTCTTTGGTATCTTTTTTTGATGCATCTCTGCCTGGAACTTTGCCGGTAAGGTTTTTATTTAATTCTTTTTATATTAGAAAATGTTTATGTTTTATTGAACATAGATAATGATTTTTATGTTTTAATATCTTGGCACAGCTCTTAGGAAATACTTGTTTAGGAAAGTGTGGATGAAGTAGGATGGACTAAATGTTTTCTAAAGACCCATCTCTATAATTCTGTTTTTAAGCCTAAATATTATCTGTTTATTCATACATTTATTCACTCATTTCACACACATTTTAGAATGTCTACTAAATACCAGACACTGTGCTACAAACTGGAAAATAAAGATGAGCAGTGATCCTTGCCTTTGAGTTCAAAGACTATTTGGGTAGGTGTGTCTTATAAGCAAATAGAGTTCTGTGTGATTACTCCTGGGAGAGTAATAGGTGGAGCATGGTTTTGGAACCCAGAGGAGGGACACAATTCAGTAGAAGGACTATTATGAGAAACTGGGGTAGGGGTGTGGTTGCTTAAGGAAGAGTTGTCGGAAGAGGTGATGTCTGAGCTATCTGAGAAGTCAGGTAGGAGTTAGGCAGATGAAGGAAGAGGGCTCTAGTTAAAGGAAGCAGCAGTTATATCATGTAATATCACATGATATTACAATGTAAGGTCAATGATTGTGGTTGTTGAAAATTAAGAAGTGGTCAAAATGGAGAAAAAAGTCAACCACAGTATACATTAACTACTCATTTATCTACTCATTTTCACTTAAGCCCACGGAATGAATGAGTCCAGTTTACACATCAGCAAGATTTTTAGCATATATTTTCATAGCTGAATTTTTAAGAAAAGGATAGACAGAACATTGTGACTGTTGGTGCTAATAAAGGGCTCCTAGTTTGTCCAGGACATCTAGTATAGGCTGGAGTTGGCATTTCCTGCCATCCTTGGAGGGAATATGTATATGTGGTAGTGAAGGCGGGTGGGAGGATTGTCATGGTGAATTCCATACTCTCTAACAGTAAATACAAGTGAAAGCTGGTTGAGCTGAGCACTGGCAGGCTTATAGAGACAGAGGTTTACTTTTCTCCATCACTGTCCAGAGTGGAAGTTGTGAGCAGTGCCTCCTGTGTGCCCACTGCACCCAGGGTTTTGGTTGTATTGGGGTAGTTTCTCTGTCTCAGAACTTTTTCCTGACTTGTGTTTTTTGTTGTATAGAACTCCCATCTCCGCAAATAATGTCTAAGGTCACCTTTACTTGCTGTTGGGTCACTCTGAGGGAAGACAGGTATAGGGTGTCTGTCTGTCCTTCCCTCCAGCATAGAGTATCTGTTTATAGAGAGATTGTTTTTGTTGGAAAAAAGGCAGTTTTTCAGTGACAAATGCTTGAGTTCAGTGGAGTGATGGGGGTGCCAGGTAGTGGCGGTAGATCGGGAAATTCAGGAGTGTTGAAGAGGGGAGATGTGAACATCCATTTCAGGAAGTTTGGCTGTGGAGGAAAAGGGAAGGCAGGAGGTGAAAGGAGACGTGGCATCAAGGGAAATTTTTATTTGTCCTGATTTCCTTAATATTGAAGAAGCTTGAGAATGTCTAAATGCTGGTGAGTTATAGTCAGCAGTAACGGACACTTAAAAATGTGTTTTAAGAGAGTAGATCTTATGTTATGGGTTCTTACTGCAGTAAAGTAATTTTCTTAAAATGCTTATGAGGAGCCAATGAAGAAAGAGCAGTTAAAGAGACATTTGATTAATATGGCAAATTGAACATAAACATTTAAACCATCTCTCTGTCCACCCCAAAGAAATTTTACTGATATAATGGTAAAAGAGTTTAAAAGTTATAAACCTCCAATAGAATAGGAGAGAAGACCAGAGTGCATGAGAGATAGTAGATGGAGGAGGACCTGACTTAGCAGAGCAGGGTTCACTGTAACCCAAGATAGGGACAGAAAGCCTGCAGAAAGAGACAGTAGTGAGAAATGAGATGGTGTGCCCTACGCAGCCTCAGAAAGGGTCAGGATGGGAACTCCAGGTATCATGGACAGCCAGAGGGAGGTGAAAACAAGGCCATTAATTCAGTCTGGATACAGAGCAGTTCAACCTACCGTCCTCTCCCTGACTCTCTGCAGCTCCACCACCCCAACAGAGATCTGTAATTTTGGGAGAAATTCAGCTGGTGACACACCTCTCCTGAAGACCTCAGGCAGAGCAAAAGGCACAGGTGTCAGACAGTCTCTGCACTCTGAACTCCAGGGCCTATCCAGTCTTTTTCCCTGCCCTGTTTGGAGTTCAGGCAACCTGGTATGGCCATCTCTCCTCTCCTTCACCTCCCCCAAGAAGGAGTCTCAGAAACTTGTTTGAAAATGACCTGTCCCTAGAGGGAAGAACTGAGGATCGAGGACACAGAGGTGTTTCAGTAGTAGAGCTACCTATTCACCTGACTGTCCTAGAGTGAAGGTCACCAGACAACAAGCCCAGGCTATTTACATGGAATTTTAATCAACATTTTAGTACCTTACTTTAAAACATAAATTGACAGCCAAAAATCACCGGACATTTAAGGAAATTCTTCAACATTATGGACAAAGCCAAAAGTAAAAGGAAAACTAAAATAAATAAGAGGCAACAGATAATGCACAAGGTAAAAGAACACTTTAAAAAGTAAAAGCTTTTATAAATATTCTTAGAGAAATAGAGAAGGTAACTGCATCCTTGAAATAAGAACATAATGCTACTTTTTAAAAACAAACAATAAAAATGATCTCTTAGAAGTTAAAATTATGATGCCCCTCCTCCCCACCTTGGCCAAATCCAAAGAGTTAGAAGATGAGTCAGGCAAGTCTTTTAGAAAGTATAACACACACACACAAGGAATTAGACAGTATGGGGGGGAAAGAAAATGAGAGGATCAATCCAGGATGTCCATATGATTAATAGTAGTTCCGGAAGAAAGAAAGTAGACAAGAGGAAACTATCAGACAGATAACACAGATTGATTTCCCAGAACTGAAGAACACACGCCTCCAAACAGAACGGGCCTGCCAACAACCCAGAGCGTGGAGTAAAAATAGTCTCCCAGGCAGGCACGTCATCATGAAGTGTCGGATCGCCAGGGATAAAGATTAGGTACTGGAACTTACACAGAAGAAATGAAAGGTCACATGCAAAGGACGAGGAATCAGAAAGGCATTGGACTTCTTTAAAGCAGCACTTAAAGCTAGAAGAGAAGGAAACAGTGCCTTAGAGAAATCTTAGGGAAAAAAATCATTCTAACCTAGAATTCTGTACCCAGCACTATAAATCAAGTGTGACAATAAAATAATGGTATTTTCAGACAGGAAGATTCTCAAAAAATTTCCATTATCATGGGAACCTGCTGAGGTAATGGAGAGGTTCCAGACTGCTCGCTCTGCAGCAGGCCCGAGGCCCTGGGAGGGGGTTTCAAGAAGAAAAGGGAGGTGGGGAGGGAACAGCAGGTATCTAATATTTGTGTACAAAAGACAATGTACATATAAATTGAAGTCTTTGAGAATAATAAGCAATTGGTAATAAAAAGTGAAGCAAATGAAAGAGACCTGTTAACTCCAGGAAAAACTAAACGTTCTGGGAAGGAAATGCAGTCATAGTGTACTTAACAGCTCAGCAGAGAAATGTACACACGTAATAATAATGAAAGAAGCACCAGTGATGATTTAACAAAAACTGCTGTAACTGGGATGTGGAGAAATAAAAGAACTAAACTATTTTCTACCATGACTACAACTCATGGTCTAAATTGATAAAGCAAGAAAAAAGGAATGTAAGAGTACGCTGTAGGAACATCTTTGGCCACAGATGAGGGGAGGCCTTTCTTTTTAGGTCCTAGGTTGGTCTGTTGGTTTTTTATTTTGATTTTTACTATTTATTTTTTTTAAATAAGGCAATGAGTGGAAGACTTAGAACACTCCAGTCAAAAGTATTTTCAGCACAGTTTTAAAACATTTTATATGAAAATAATATTAACAATCAGTTATTACCACTACTGGTTTCTCAGCCTTCTGGTGATGAAATTTCTTTTTTTTCCCCCGAGTCCAAACAGTTCAGACACACCCATCCACCACCTGTAGCACCACTCTACCCTGCTTTTAGGTGGAATAAGCTCATCCACATTCTAGATCATTCATACGTAAGCTTACTAACTTGGTAGGTTTTCCTTCCCCCATGGGGGTGAAGTGACCGACCTGCCTACCAACCTGACACTTTGGACTTCAGTGTAACTCAGCTTATTGCGAAGTTGCATGTAGGAGCAGCGTATTTTGCTCCTAAATAGAAATATAGTAAAGTATGGGTAAATGCTTATGAAACAGAGTAGGATATAAAAGTATTGCAAAATATCTCACCTTGTAACTCATATGAACGATCTGTTGGGAATGGAATGGGCCAAGTCTTGTGGCCCCATGTTCTAAAAACAAGGACACTGTATCATTGGGTCAGTTGATCGAGTCTGTCTTTCTCCCATGTTAAGGAAGGATTGTCACAGTACAAATGACCACAAGCCTTGGCAAGCAGGTGATGGATTTTCCAAAGATCCCCTGGCACAGCATTTTATTTAAAAATAGGAAGATAGGTACCAGACAAGACAACTCAAAGATCTGAAGGTGGTTGCTGCCAGGAAACAGTCCTAGCAGGGGAGGGTGGTGGGAGTGGCTCGTTTTCATTAGACATTATTTTGAGATACATGCCTGTAATATTATTTTAAATATTTTTTTTCTTTATTGACTTTCAGAGAGAGAGAGAGAGAGGAAGGGAGAAAGAGAGATAGAAACATCGATGAAAGAGAACATCAATTGGCTGCCTCCTCCATGCCCTCCACTGGGGATCAGGCCCACAACCTGGGCATGTGCCCTGACCAGGAATCAAACCAGTGACCTCTTGGTGCATGGGTCGATGCTCAGCCACTGAGCCACACCAGCCGGGCGTGTAATATTTTGATCAACAATTAAATGTTAGCTTTAAAGGAATAGTGTGTAGAGGAGAAGAATTTATTAATGGAGTCAGGTTCCTGAGAAAGCAGGGGGTGTC